TGATTCTGGACACATTTTTCGTTGAATGTTTTAAACAATTTCTTCTAAATATTATATGTTAAGTTCCAGCGTTTTTTTCTTTTGCATTGTTGATGTGTCACGTCGTCCATTTTCAAAGTTGGTGTGGGGTCACCAATAAAGAATAAACAGATCACATTTCCCATTTACAAGTCACATGTTGCCGTTGCAAGCATTACAACAACGAATGACAGGCGGGGGCAGGCGGAAAGATCGAACAGAGATGGATGGTTTTGGCTGATCGCAAATATTTCTATTTTATCGAGTATTTGAGTTGTGTAGCTTAACGCTACGGAAGGATTAATATCTCCCTTACGCTCCCTATACTTTATTGATGGATATAAAAAGTTGATCTTACAAGGAAAACAACTGACTACCGTTAACTTAATCCACCTGAGTGAGAATCTCGACTAGCAACTCAATGATCGTGGATTCAAATCTCAAGTGCGGTAGAGTTTTTAATAAAAGCCGAAAGCCTTAGATGCTTAGATGCTTTAGTCTTACAATTTATTCTCTGGCTAAGTTTATAATAATAATAATAATAATAATAATAATAACAATAATAATAACAATACCCTTAACTTATACGATAAGAATATATCAGGGCAGCCCACAGAGAGGGAAAAGAAAAGGTCATGGATTCATTTACCATTGATGACCACAATAGGCTAAACAATAACACTTGGTGGTCTTTCAAATAAAAATAAAAGAATGAAAAGCAAGCAATCAGTACACACACAGGCACATTAAAATCCGAGCAAATGTGTTACAAAATTTTGCAAAAACCGAGATAATTACTTTCCTGTCGCAAGTTATGTTCTTAGGAGCTTCTCCTTCTTTTTTTTTTCTTTTTTTTCCTGACTCAATTAAAACTCGCCTTTGTGCACTTGCCATAGGATAGAATTCTTGGCAATTTTTGCGTATCTTGGGAAAAGAGATGAGAAGAGAGGAGAAGGGAAGAGAAGAGTCATGCTGAGCATATTTTATCTCCTTATGGAAGGAACATTTAATATAAATATCAAATATAATTGCTGTGAAAATTATGTGTATAGTTATTGCAATAACTATTGCATCGACTGTGCCAGTCTTTATCTTTATTCATAAAAATAAATAAATAAATTAAAAAAGAATAACAAACAAATGAAATACAAATGCAAACCGGGGGCATTTTTAAAATCTATGGTAGCTATCGTTCACAGCATGAGCCTTTCTCGCTTACACGTTTACACACCAACACACACACACACACACACACACACACCTATATCTATGGTTTGCCTCTAAAGTTACAAGTCATCCCTTAAGACTTTTTAATAAAATAACATCCACCATTTAGAGCAATAGATACACATGCAAACGCATACATGTACGCATCTCTTTACAATGACATTAACACGAATAGTTTAAAGATGTCGAAATCTTTTTAATTAGAAAATTTATTGATCAAATTCTAATGTAGTTTAGACCAAAATACTAAACCTATTTTACTTATTTACTTCTTTTTTTTTTTTTTTTGTTTTTTCTTTCATTCGCTTTTGTTTCGTTTATTGTATCAATAATCAATAATATATAAAAATAATGTAATTCCAAGTAACACTACTCGGTCCGAGAATTATTGGCTGATTTACAAAAGCAAGAAGAATACGAAAATTGAAATTAAAAAAAAAAAAAAAAAACCAAAGAGTGCAACAACTTGTGTGGCATACGACATAATTAAAACGTTCAACTGAATGAATTTTCCCTAAAAGATTATTAGAATCAACTGGAGTTGATTGTATATTAGATTTTCACACTGAATATGGACATGGATCTGATTCACTTGTAGATTACAATTTTGTTTTTTTTTTTTTTTTTAATTTTAATTCTTTTAAAATAAAAACTTTAGCCTACCCTTTCCAATTTGATCAGGCAAAGTATATTTCGCATTTGTTTCCAGAGTCACTTTTATGTTGTTAAACACAAAAAGCTTACGTCATTTGAGATTTTAATTTGCAACGATTTCGAAACGTCCCAAACTGACGAAAAACTCATTATCCACATTTGCTTTTTTTGAAACCAAAACCTCATTGTAATTGAAAAAAAAAAATTTCTTATATATATATTTTTTGTTTGTTTTATATATCTAATTAGTTATGTGGTGGCCCGTCATATATAATTCAGAATTCACGCACTTAGCTTGCCGCGTTACTTTTATTTGATACCTACATGAAGAGAATTAAAAAAAAAAAAAAAAAAAATCAATTCACCATTGTGAGGCATTGTGCTAATATAGGAACCAAAGATTTGGAAAGAATTTTAGCTTATCTCAAATTTCAAAGATTTCAGATAATCTTGGATGTGGCCGAAATAGCGCTTGTGAAGTTCTATGCTAAAGCAAGGGCATAATGATATCCTTTCAATTTCAGCCACATTTGCAGCAAGGAATCTCTTCTATCGAACCAGAGATGAATAAGTTGATTCAAGGAGAGGGAATTGTTCCGTCTTCTTGCTTATAAACTTCTTCAAGTCAAGGCGACACATTGTAAAGAAATTTACTTTCCTTTTGAACGAAAAAAAAAATCGAAATATTAGGTTAGGATCGTAAAGTAAAGGGTTTTCGCTTCATTACGCATAAGAAAATTCGTATTTACTTACATACACTATCGTGGTCTAACTTGTGGTCTTGTGAACGTCGATCCATTTCTTCTTATTAAAGACCGTAAACCTGCTCTTACTGTATCTGAATTGGAAAAGCTATACCCATATTGCAAACACTTCGCTTCTTCGTAAGCAACGCCAAAACGATCAATTGTTTTACAAAGTTAAAGAAATGACTTCTCTCACTTTTGGAGCTCGACCTTGGATTATGTAGGAAAATGCTGTTAGCTAATAATGCTAATAATAATCTCATAACTATCAACATAAGGTGAGGTTATCTTGTATTTTCCTGCAAATATCTCCAAGGCTCAAGTGAGTGCTTCTACTTGCACATCCTGTACACAATTGGAGAGAGGCATGATTTTCTCAGCAGTCATATCCACAAGATCTTTTAATGGAAGGGTTCTTCTTTTTTCTTTCTCTTGCTCTCTTTTTTTCTTTCAACTTTTCATCGACTTCTATTGGACACGAAAGACACTTACAACGTTTGAAAGTCTCAAAACTTTTATTGATATAAATTTGCTGCCGTTGTTACATTTTCACAGGCGTTTGCAACAACTCGCATTCAAAGACATCAACGTTCTGTGAAGAAGTGCGGCCCCATGCACCAGATAACTGATTTAAATTTATCGCGAATATCGCTTTGTCACGAACCAAGTGCAATGGCGATCACTGAACTGCAATATTAGTTCACTTTCTTTCGTTTTAAAACAAGTTAAATTGTTGTAGTTAAGCAAGATCGACTATTAAATACGCTACATTACTACTTTTATCCAGAAATACGAAAAAGAAAATTTTGTTGAGAGAATCCTTATATAATGTGTAGAATGGCCAGAAAAATGGAAAAGTCTCGTCCGAATTTTTACATAGAGGATTTATAGGTGAAATCACATTGTCGCACCGATTTTCATCTGTAAAATAGAAAAACAACAGATCTTGTTGCCATAACATAAAACTTGCTTTTCATCAGAATCCTTATGCGGAAGGGGAATCCACGAGATAGATAGGCTACATTTACCATAACAATAAATGTATAGGTCTAATCATTATTCTGAATTAATTTTTCATTTCAGTTAACTATTAGAGATGGATCGACTTCGATTCAAGATCCACACTGCGAATGGGGCCACATTTCCTCCATACTGTAAAGTTCTTACCGAAAAAGTCAACAAAATGTAAGTCTATCTGAAATCCGCATAAATTTAATGCACCTTATACATATACATATACATATATATATATAAAGTCTATAGGCGTGTAAGGTGCAACCAATTACCAAAAGAAAATTATATTCGGTTTTAAAAGAATTTTTCCATTTTTTTTGTCATAAAAAAACATTAAAAAAAAAAAAAAGAAATACAGAAATAAATAGTAATTCGATATATCGTAACATTGTACCGTAACGTCTTCCATAAAATGTCCGGAGATATTTTTATCGTTGTCTCTCTTTCAGCCTATGAGTAATGAATAACGAATAATAGCAATAAGAGTAATTTACTCATATTGCACTGCAGACGCATCTTCTAATCAATTTGGACTATTGTCAGTACTAACTTGCGTACGAAAATGTTTTCATCGAATTTGAAACCGATATCTTGATGATGTGTATCACAAAGATACGTGCAGGCGAATTGACGGTCAGATGAATTGACTAAGGGACCGATGGGGTTTCAAAGACCCTTCAACAACTTGTTATACCGAATAAGAATATGGACACTTCATAGAGTCTCTGCAGGTGCATTATGCATGCTGCAAATGTCTTTGCAAAATGAATATACTCCCAACCTACGGTAGTGAATACAAAAAATAGATAATGTGAGCTATTAAAGTCGACAAGTTTGGATACACCTCATAGAGCAAGTGATTCATCTCAACTTGAATCATAAATTGTGCGTAAAGCATTTGTTTATTGACTATTGCATCTATATCGAACTCCCACGATCCCCAGCATCCAAACAATTTACTTATCGTCGCGTTATCACATATGAAACATTTTATTTACCTTAACCTAAACATCTTCCAAGAAACTATGATGATAATGATTTGTCATCTTGATCTTAAAAATTTTCACACGATGACATTATCGCTCTCTCTTTTTATCGCCATGAAAAGTCTTAGACGATCAGATCACGAGCCACCCGACAAAGTTAGTTTACCATCTCGGTAATGAAGAGTAGATATGAAGAATATTTACATCGTTTAACCTTTATGTAGATAAGATACGAAATCAATTTAATGAGTTCAAGCCATATGTCAGTGAAGACGAACGTACATTAACGTTTAACATCTTGAATAGAAAAGTATTTGAATTCAATAAATTTCATTAAGATTCAGCGAATGAAAATATGAATCAAAAGAATTACGTTATCATTATAGCGTTGTTATCCGCATCGGCTAGCATTATATCGTTGATAGCATTTTCCACAAACTACTGGGTAAATAGTTAATAAAAATAGTGCTGAGCTTTTTTTTTATCTTAAAAAAAAAAAAAAAAAAAAAAAAAAACCAAATTCCCATTTAACAGTTAAAAGCTACGGCTATTTTATCGGAACGTGTAGAGAGTCGTATAAATTACGGTTTATTTGCCGGTACATTGGAACGACATCAGTTGGCTTCAACCTTGAAATTTGACCTTAAAAGTATGTAAAGCTTATATATATATATATTGATTGATATAAAGATGAATCATTCTGAACCGATTTTTTAACTTTAGTCGTTTGCAATATGGATTTGAAAGCTTGCATGTTCAGTTGCCAACAGGATCATCTTAAACGTGAGCGAGAATTGAAGCGAGTATATAATAAACAAAAACTCGAATCTTGCGAACAAAATTTGCCCTCAGACCAGCAAAAGTTTCGTATGAACTATGAAAGTTCAACGCAAACAAATTCTAACACCACTGACAGCAATAACAGAATGAAAAAATCATATATTTCTGCACCGCTTTGGCTCGTCACAGTGCTTTTCTTCTCAGTTGCTCAACTATTCTCGTTGGTGGCAATGACTTGCGCTTTAATTAACATTAAATGGCATCCAATCGAACCAATTTTCAATGTCTATGGCTTGTATATCTGGAATACAGTTGTGGTCGTTTGTCTTTTTGGGACTTTGGTCTTTTGGTATGCACTCTACAATAATCATTTGATCTATAATGTCGCCATAACCGATACTTTACGTCAGGAATTGAATTTCATATCGGATGGATACGCCCGTTTAGGTTATTGCTTCTACTTATTATTGATTTTAATACTTTTACATATCATTATACTCATTTTATTATGCTATCGTGCCCAGCACAACGACGCACACGATTCGCTTCGCTCACACAGAAATCTGAACATTATGGATGATGGAGATGGACGTTTCGAGTTTTACTAGTACTTTTTTTATACCATAAAATGATCTTAATTGAAACGAAAATGTGATTAGAAATTAGAATAAAAAAGAGTATTCGCCCAAGTGGCCAAGTGTAGGGAAACAATTTCGTCTAACAAGTCAATCTTAAGTGCGAGTGAGCGCGAATGCTTTAAGACTTTAGTCTGAGAATTTATTTCTCTGGCCAAATGAAGAGTTAATAATAAAAATAAAAATAGAATAAAAGTCTATATATTAGATAATTTAAAAAGTATTGAGCGTTTTGTTTACGAAGCAAGTAACAATCACATGCGAATAGTAAGAGGTATATAAATTTCAATGATCTAAACTGTAGAGGAAAAAGAGTAAAAGAGAATAGATGGCCGTCGCTGATTGGAGTAAACGTTGTTTGCAAGTCCACGTTTGTAGTGCTTTCAGATGTTCAGCGCAACGTGCTTAGCGCATGTTTAGAGTTTAAGTTGGCCTTAAGTGCTGCGCATGGCCATAAGAAAAGACATTTTTAAGTGAGAAATAATCAAAAATTGTCTCACTCGTCTTCGTTCCGAAAATGTCACTTGTGTTTCCATAAAGTTCAACCATGAACTGGGCTGTTTGTCCTTGGTCATGGACCACGATAGGTTACCAAGATCAATATATAAAGTCTATTTAATTTCGGAAAGTCTAGTACACTCGTCAAACTATTGGATTCAGTCTTAGCTTAATTTGAGGAAAACTAATTAGAAATGAAAGTTTTCGGCTTGCGAAACTATATTGAGTTCGAGATATTGCTCAAACAAATTACAACATATATGTACAACTTGCAATCTAGGAAAAAGCAAAACGATTGAAGGCAGGCTGGCAGGCGTAGCTCTAACATCTAAGCTCCACAAAGATTGCAGCATCTCTTCATTAGTAAAAGAATAGCACAGTGCGTGGACCAATTGTGACTTTGAAACACTACAATGGAGCAAATGGAAAAGGAAAGGAAGGAAATCTTTACCAAAAAAACTATCAGCGCAAGACTTGTCGGTGCTTCGGAAAACAAGAAAACATGGCTAAGGTTTGTTTTGCTGTCCTCAACATTCAATTCCGTACCTAGCACAGCGCATTTTTCTGAAAATCAGTTATTCAAGTCCTTGCATGTCCTTATCCTTATTATTAACTTAATTTTAAAATGAAACAATGTATCACACAAGCTAAAAAGAAGTTTAGTAAGAAGAAGATGATGAAAAAATGCTAGAGAGATTCATCAAGGGGAATGCTTCACATAGGTGGACAACTTTCCAAAGTTAGCTCTCTTCCCGTTTTTGCAGAGCTGATTGATGGAAATAAGAAAAATTTTTTTAAAAATATGCAACAAACTCCATTGAGACTTTAATTTGACCACAAGAAATAGCAGTCCTCTCGAAGTCCTTTATGGAGCGCAAAAAAATTAGCTACATTTTCACTTATACGACCCAGTTGAAAGTGCAAGGTTTCTATAGCGACATCTCTGTCTGCCCACAGAAAACAAGCTCTACTTATAAAAACTATTAAGTATATTTTTATCGAGCATGAAACTCCGGATCGATTTAATGACTATTCCTACTTCTGTCTGACCATCAATCGGTTGCACGCAAAAGGGATCTCCCCCCAGCGATTCTTCATATTGAAAAGAAGAACATTTGTATTGGTGATCGCTTGCCGTTTTTCTTACAAAATCGTCGAGCTGCCATTGTAGAATTTGTAGAACTTCTGGACGACAAAGTGAATCAAGCGAATTTCAAAAGTTACAAAATGGCCGTGATTTGAAGAAACATGAAAGAATGATATGAAACCAAATTTTCCATTTTTAAGATGCCCCTCAAAAAAATCGGAGAAATATATCAGCAGCAGGACGTACAAAATCAATGCAGTAAAGACGGGCCTTTTTGAATCTCTTCTTATGTAAACGTTGTTACAAAAAGTAAGCTTTTATGGGTACCTTTACTATTTTTGATCTGGTATGTTAAATGGGCCCATTTTGCAAAACACTTCCCATGAAAAGCGTTCTCCTCTCTAAACTTTACTCAATTTGGATCGTGTCGGTCTTGCGCACCCCCTTCGTTTGTATGGTTTTGCTTTTGCTTTTGAAAAATGACTTTGTATTGGCCTAAATAGAAGACTGTGTAGATGTTGCATTCTATGTAGATTTCGACTGTAAGGCATTTCATATTTTTCGATATCCTATGGAAGAGCATCGTCCAACCATTATTACCTTCTTGCGCTTATATAAAACATTCAGGTGTAAATGTTTTCAAATGAAATTTTGTAAAGAAATGAATTTACAAATTTTTGATACGATCGTCTTCAGTAGTATCACCAACGGTAGGAAATGGTTGTGTTTACTTGATTTAGAAATTCCTAATAGTCGCAGATTTTCGTTAATCCATTCACGAAATTTAAAGACATCGGCGCATATGCGCAATGAAGAATTTTCGCAACGGGGAAATTCGGAACTCACTATACCAGTTAGTGTGCCTTAATATGGTAGTAAATAAAAAAATAAAAAAATTCTTTTTGTCGAAAAACAAAAGAAAAATGATTCATTGACACACATACGTACCATCACATATTAATGGCTCGCCACCATTTAATAGTAGACAGGGCTCATACATATAAACGCAGAGAGCTTTATTAAACAGTGTTGTAATATTTGCTTGACATTTGTGATAAGACCATACTTCCACTTCGATCTCTTGCAGTTTGTCCGTTAATAATTGCTACAAAAATATTGAGAAATATTGAGAATGAAGGCGTACAAAAAACTATGCTCAATAAATTTTAATTCCTTTAAAATCTGCTACAAATCGTGTACTTACTCCCCAACCAATCACGACACATCTAGCCTTTATGTTAGGGTGTGTTTGAGGCAACGGCATGACCGAAGAAGAGCGCAATGGTTCCAGCGACTTAATTATGGCCAATTGCGGATATGATTTCAACACTTTAATAATGTGCTTACTTTGTAAAGAAATTCCAGTGAACCAAGTCACTTCTTTTACTCTGCTACCAAATTCACAGAATTCTGTATCGTAAAGAACGAAACCAAGAACTTGATCTCCTTCCGGCCACTGCTTATGCATGCTTGCATAGGCAAAAAACCAAATCATATATCATAACGAATAATAGAAAAAAAAAAAAAGAAAGAGAGAGAAAACTCAAATCACTTACATCCCAATACCGTGATATGTTAGTATAGCGTATTCATGTATTATAACACCAGCTCCCATAAATATTGGACCACTTTCTCGCTTATATCCCCAACAAGCCATACATTTTTTATAATTTTTTACCGCACTCCTACGCGTCCTGTACGTATCATGCACGTTAGACGTAGCCGTCAATCTGCTGGCGATCCAATTTAGTAATAAAGATAAAAAAAAATATAATTCGAAATTCATGCTCATCGGGTTTATATTTATTTTTGAAATGCAAACAAAAATAGAATAAATATTTCACACAAAACAGAAAAAAAAAAAAAAAACGACAACAAACCGATAATATCTATATGTCATACATCACATACACATACATATATAAATATATATATATATATTTATTTATTTTTTTTGTTTGACATCAATTGAAAACATATTTATATAGGACTACGGATAATATCGTCGCCACCTCCGTCACTAAAGTATCGACCGCTAATACGTGATCCATTAAACACATTATAATTTCAGTTTGGCCTTCCATTTTTCCAAATCTATAGCTAGCGGCGCACTGCCATATTCAGACTCATGGAATCTTCTACTGAAACACACTCACATTCCTTCATAGACTTTCGAACTGAGTACAAAGTGAAGCTTGACTTGGCATGTTCTGCTCAATATAAATATTCAACATCTCAATACGTCACTTTAAGGGATGTCTGGAATTTCCGCTAATAAGCTCTGAATGGGCCTGTTCATAGCCATTATTAAACAACTGACAAAATTAAATTCGTTCGAGTCCGAATCTTTTATACCCATTACAGTTTACCCGAAAAGAAGGGAAAAGAAATAAGAGACAAAATTTCTCAAGCCTTATAGTATGGAGTGGACGCAATTGATTTCTTCTATTTTCAAAATAAAAGTTTTTGTCGTAGAGGCGTTTGGGGGTTGAAGGGGTGTCCTTTAAAAAATTAAAAGGCCAACTGCAAATTCTTTTGCAAATTTTTAGGCGATTTCTCCATTTTCGCTAACCGGAAAAGGGTTATCATAAATACTACAAAGTTACGCAAGTAGACAGATGGACAGACGAACATGTCGGACAGCCGGACATGTTTAGGCACATTGCAGGTTTGCAACTGGCCAAGAATTTGTATACCTTATGCAGTTTTTGAAGTTTCTTTCTGCCTGTTATAAAGGTATTGAAAAATAATTATTAATATTGAAACACTATAATAATGGGTAGACTTGGTCAACAGCATTGCCTATAGAATATGCGCTCAAATTTTTGTACATTTATTTGCTGTAGTTTATGAGTAATGAGCAAAAGTACAACTCTTCATTCCCTTTGAAAAACCGCCGTGTTCTCGGTTTACGTGGTGCTGTGGGCGTGTCCATCAACCGATTTGCCCTATTTTCAATAAGAACCTGCGTGCAAGAACTTTCACTGTTTCTGTCAAATTTGAAGTCGTTAGCTTCATTTGTTGTTATACAACAGGCATTACACAGTCGGACAGACAGACGGATATGCTTAAATCGATTTAGAATTTGATGCTGATCAAGAATATATATACTTAGTGGGGTCTCTGCGGCTTTCTTCTGTTCGTTGCAAACGTTTTGACAAAATGAATATACCTTCGGTGATGGGTATGAAAATACAACGGCTAACAATAAAACGGTACCATCACCGCATATCATAATTGACATTAAATCCTTCGCAATTTGCTAAAAACTAAAGAGGAGATAAGCAATAATTGCAGAATGATGTTTTCACTAAGAAGGCACTGTTAAAAGCATGCGCTACGTCAAGAACCATATTTAGCGATATGCAAAACGTTTCAGGACGTGTATTCATTAGCCAATGTCAGAAGATGAGCATATAAAGATGACTCTCAGTAGATAAAAAATAACATTTGTCTGAGGCCATTTTTATCTTAAAAAAAAAGAAAAAAAAAAAAATTAAATCTGCAAACTCCCACAAGCACTAGAATATCCATTCGAATGCGTCTGTCGGACAATTCGGCCACGATTCGAGACTCAGTTGCGTGCAAGACTTTCCAATACTTTTGAAAATCTGAAATCGTTATCATAACCTTGAGCATATTACCCATAAACGTTCTCTGTTAGGAATGGATAGCGATAGAAGAAATTAGTTACAAGCCTTTAACTCCGATTTTACTATCTTTTGATCTAAACGCTATTTATATTTGTTTTTTTTCTCTTGTACATCTTAAAAGGAGTTGAAATTGAATTGTTTTTGTAAATATTCAATGTCAGCTGATATTTCAACTCCAAGACGATCACATCGATCAATATATCATTTTGTGTAAATAAAATTTACTTCTGAATTTAGAAAACCTCCAAGGATAGGCACAGTAGGTGGTGATCTTTTTTTTCGATTACAAAAACGGAAGTGTTTCGATTTACTGCTGTGCGGTTTTCTTTAGCAATAGGAAAATTACCTAAAATTAAGTTATATGTACAATAGATCAACTGGATATTGACAAACAATTAGACAAAATGATGACATCATTTGTTTCACATATAATATAATCCAAGAATTCGCCTTCGAAATAAGTCAGTCGCATACTTTAAATGTAACCGAGAACAATAACAATAAGAACAGCAACAACAACAACAACAACAGCAGCAGCAGCAACAACTATAAGAAGGAAGTATTAAAAAAGGAAATTAAAAACCAAAACAAGACTGACTCTCTCTCCCTCTCTCTCTCTCTCTTTTTCTTTTTCTTTTACTCACCTTCTCTTCCTTATATCCTTTCACTCACACGTGCCCTACTCTCGGTTAAATAAATGAGCATGAGTGATAGGGAAAACCTCTAAACCTCTAAACCTCTAAGGATAACTGTGTAGGGAAATTTTGGGATCTGAACAACACCCAATTTATTAAAATGATGGATGGATTCAGTTATCATTTTGTTGTTTTCATTATTGTTATTTGCTTTAAAATGTAATTGATTTGTTAAACAAAAAAAATATTTTCTTTCATTTTCATTCGCATCATCTTTAATAAAGCATTGACGTCAACTTGTGCGATCTAATCTAATAATAGATCAATAAATGAATGAATGTTGTCATCTCATTTCTTAATTACTAGAAGTTATTAAATATTGTGACAGTGTGCGTTCAATTTTTGTCACATTTTTTTATACATTTTTTTTGATGAATTCCTCCTGTCTTTTCTTCCTCTTTATTTATTTCTTTTTTAAATTGACAGACATCAGACAGACAGATGTGCGAGTTCTTTGCAAGATCCCGTCTTTAAGAATAGAATAAATAACTTTTATCTCATTTTGCTCTAAAGACGGCCGACATAATTGTTTTTCAATTCTAAGCGTTCTTTTACTACACAATCTTAAAAAATATTCCACCTAATTGGCCGAATAATGCTTGATCGTGCTTGTGAAACTTCGGCAAAAGTCACTTAGTTGAGAGAAAAGAAAAAATTCGTAAGAAGATAGAGAAGATTTCTTCTCGCACCGAAAGTTATTTCAGTCATTCCTCTTACTTTCTCTCTCACTCTCTCTCAACCCCTTTCTTTCTTTTTTTTTTCTTTGTCCTAAAATAAATGGAGAAAAAAACTCATCGAAACTTCATAAACTTTCTTGTTCGCCAACTTATCACGTAAAGAAGGAAGGATTTCGTTGTTGATTTCCTTGCCTTCGCGAGACGCGCAATTGGGGTTTTATTGGCTGGATTTCACCCTTGAACTCAAACTTAGGCCCAGTACAAGTCTTCTGATAGCCGCTGATACGTATCAAAATGCAATTAACTTTTGAACCTAACCTAGGCTGCAGTTAATCCTAGAGTGAAGTCTCATCAATCGCCTGCATTAGTTGGTGAAATAAGCTTTAATGTCCCCAGCCGCTTCTCTCGGCACTTCACCTTGGTTAAGCTTAGTCAATGTAAATATATTTATGAGCTGTTTAATCCGCTCAGAGTTGTTTGCAAAAACCTAAATGATGTTTATTATTCTTCTTATTCTCATTAGCGGACTCTTTAAAATCCATTAAAGCAACATTGCTTAATGCGAGTAATTTACCTATGTCGTACTTAAACTAGCTCTTACCCTAAAATGTCATGATTAATCGAAAATGAATTGTTTTGTAATTATTATCGGTGGCCAAGCTTATGCATGTTTGCGATAGCTTAAGGGTTCAATCGAAATTTGGTCTTGTATCGGCTGTGGGTGTGGCTCTATACTAGTTGTGTACATGCTTTTTTTCTTTTTTTTCCTTCTTATTTGCTTTATTGTACTTATACTAAGTTTTAATATTAATTAACTTTAGATTTACTTTCACTTTATTTTCAAAAATAAAATGATAATTCTTTCCATATATTCATACAACTGCTTGAAATATAATATATAATCTTTTTTATATAAATGTATAAAAAATATGCATTCATCTCCCCTTGTACGTCTCCTCAATAGTTTTATACAATTTTTATAGGCGTGGCATTCGATTTTTTTTTTTTAAGAGTCAATTCAACTCGACTATCAAAATTTTTAGTTGAGTTTCTTGTATAAGTAGAATAAATAAATAAATAAATAGAGTCCGCTGATTTAAGTTTCTGACTTTATGCCGCCAGTGATTACGAGCTAAAACCTTAATCTGATTTTAGAATATTACATCTTACCAAACGGTACATGACCAAACGGTCTCACTTCAGGAGAATCACGTTTTCTACAGTTACTAATTTCTGAATGAAAGAAATATAGGAACATATAATAGAACAGGTCATGGCGTCTTTGGCGGAGATAAAAAAATGCAGTATCCAAATATAAACGCACTTTTTCACTATAGCAATCGATTCAGAATAACTCCAAAAAAACAAGTTAAGAACGTCTGTCCGAATGATTGTCTGATATGCATCCAGATTTTTTAGTATTCAACTTGAAAAAGAAATTCGATACCCTAAGAAGCTTTATTTCTAAGATCAGTGCCCGTGTTTCGACAAGGATCTTATACGACGCAAACTATCGATTTTTAATATATTGCAAGAATAATCGATAAAAATAGTGTTTTGTTAAATGAATTTGAAATATTCGAATGAGATGGAATCACATTTTGAAATCTCAAGCATTTATGTATGCCTTTGTATAGCAACGAGAAATAATTTTTAGTCTTTTGCGGTGAAATTTGGTTTCAGATTAGTAATTTGACATATAAATTTGCTATGATAAATTTCAACGACATTGCTTCATTCTTCGTAGGCGTTCTCGAAAGTTCGAAAGTAATTTTTATGCGTCTAAAATGATGAGTTTTTATCAATTTTTTAACTTTAGATCAAAGCAAGCGAAGAAATATAAGCCGTAATGTAATTCCGATAGGACCAAATTTGATTTCTTTCCTCTGCCACGGAGATTCCGTAATGGCTTTCCTAAACTTGTTTCGACATAATATGATCTTCTAAAACACATTTGTTTTTTGCATAAAAATATCTTTTAATTTTTTTTTATAAGATCTGATTGATCTTCCTATTTAAGTTGATAGACCTATAGATAATATATTTAAAATAATTTTGACAATTGAACACATGTAATAATAATAATTTGTAAATTTCAAAGTCTTTATCAAATTAATAACTTCATTTATTATTTCATTCGTTTATATTGTATTAAATTAATAACTAATAGATTTCTAGAAAATTTCACATTAAGATCGTGATATTAAATGCATTGAAAAAGTATTGAAAATACCTGCATATCATAATTCTTACAAACATATAAAAATAATACCACAGAGAATTAAAAATTTAAAAACAAAGTAATAGTGCTTCAGGAATAGGGTGATACATATTATATGCAAAATACATAAAAAACTTATAAGATAAAAGTTCTATAAAATATTCCAGAGATTCCCTTAAAAATGAATATCAGTCATATAAAATACTCAGATAATACAACTTTTTTTACTTAAATAATAAAGACACACACACACATATACATAGATTTGAAATTGGTATGTGTGTGGTGTTAAGGCAATTGAAGGCATTTTTTTCTGCTCTATATTATTCGTGATATGTTCTTCAATAAAGCATTATAGCGCGTTGATGTTTTTCTTCATTTGGAGGCTGTAGACGTTGAACTTCTCGTTTCTCGCGACGTCGAGCATGTAATAATATAGTGATATTTAAAAAAACGACTAGAGTTGATATAACAACTAAGTAGAAACTATAGCCCAATGTGGCCAAACCGTGACTATACCAATTGTGCCTGCGATCCTCTATCGCTAAAACGTTATGTTGTAAATACTGAAAGAATTGTACTAGCCAGCAGATAAAGGCCAAGACTTGTGACAAAGCCGACGATATATTGGAAGCAAATAAAACAAGCATTGTGCCTGGTTTCTTGGCAGCAGACGCAGCTTTAAATACAGCGGCAATAGCGGAAATGGCACAACTCAACAAACCAAGGCCAGTACCCATTGCGGTGATAAGCCAAAGCCAAAAATTCATAGGTTGCTGTTCGGTCTGCATGAAAGTATATACTGAAAGCGAAAAGAATCTAAGTTAAATAGAATTAAGTGAAAAAAATTCAATTACCATCCACTGAATATGATCTCACACCGAAACCAGGATTTAAATCTTTGGTACCGTAAAATAAACCATAGCTTACTTCACCTTTAGATTGCTGCAAAACATGCACAAAAAAAAAAATGTATTTCGCTTTAATACACAACAATTATACAAATACACAACAAAGGGTGTAACATATTATAACTTACTGGAGCATTTGTTCGCTTCGGATAAGCCTTAACCCAGCTATTTGTAGTCAAACTGACCAACAATAAACCGATTGCCAAAATCGATCCAAAGAATGTAGAAAAAACTAATGTTCTGGTTCGCAAACTCATATTTGTACTTTCTATTTTACTAACGAATCTTTGCAGTGAACGCGAAACAAGACTTAAGCAACAAACTTCAAACTTGTTTGTAATGTGTGCTTATAATACCAAAACGACACGCGCATACATGTATACAAATGGAAAAAAGCATTAATAAAATAAATGTGTTCAATTTATTTTTACTAGCAATTCATTAAAATGTTGAGTATTGCTTAACGATTTTCACTTGTTTTTGCATTTCTTCCATAAGTATTCTTTGATTGTTATTCCCTTCAATCAGTTGCTGATTGTTGTGATTTTTTTTTAATTTATAAAATTATATTTATTACTTCTTGTGTACAGTCGTTAGCAGGCTTATAGCAGATCAGATCAATTCCGTATTTTCATAGATTTCAGGATTTTCGATAAACAAATGTGAATAATAGTACTATTACTAATGGATCTTTTTCATTATATAGATTATCCGCTTATTTCTTTTGAATATAAGATGAAATAGCGTTGACAACATCAACTAAAATTCAGGGTATCCTATTGTTTGTGAAAAGGATAAAAATGTAATAATCATAGAGTTATCACAGTGAATTGTCGAATATTTTTGTAAATTCAATCTTTTGTGCATTGATACGTACAGGGAAATCGCAAATATGAAAGGTGCTTGGTTTAGGTTAAGATTTAGCGCAACTGGAAACGGTAAAAAAGTTTACGCTATTGAATTTCATAAACTATTATTATTTCTTCTAACTTATTTTAACGTATCGGGATGTTAACAGTCAAAATTTCCTGATTAGCTATTATCAATTAAATTTTCGCAGTTGGCAACCCTATCCTTATCGTCTGGGATATTTATTGTACGTTGTTATTACTATTTGCACTTACACATTTTTTGATTATATGGCTCTCTCTTGGTTTTATTTATTACTTGAATTCAACAATATAACAAACAGATTAAATTTAAAATTTTTTTTTGTCCAAAAAATCAAACAAGAATGAATATTTAAATGGTTTAATTTAATTACGAAACTTGGCATGTCCTCCTTAAGTATATAGAAAAATTTCCTTTATATGTTAATATACATTGCATTCGTATTCCACTGTAATGTAATTAATGTATTATTAAGAAATGCATTAACAATAAGTTATTTTATCGAGATCTTTTACTTATAAATAATCCTAAAAAGTTTATTTTACGCTCGCAAATATTTATGATTCTTTTTACATTGTTTAAGCTATACATTTTCCCTATACCGTGCTGTGCTACGCTATGCCTATCCGTAAATATGGCAACCTTTGGCGGTTCGGATGAAGAGCAATAAAGCAAAAGAAAGAAAGATAAGAAAAGAGGCAGAATATTTGGTTAAAAATTAGTGTTATAAAAATTTTTTTCTTTTTCGTTTTTTAAAAATTACAAATTAACGCAATCACAACAAAGAAAACAGTTTTATTAAATTTAATAATTACACGGCAGCAAAGAAACTCAACACAAAAATCATGTTGTATTGGAATTTTTCATAAGAATAACAACAAGAAGGGTAAATAAATTATAATGAAAAATTCATTCTATAATTTTTTATTGTAGAGAAAAATAAATACACAAATTATTTTGTAGTGGCACTAAAAAAAAAGAGCAGAAAGAAAAAATGTGAAAAAAATGCAGATGAGTGAATATATTCACAATACATAAAGTGAAAGTTAATTATTTAGTGTGTGTTGTATTGCGAGGTGCAAAAAGAAAAACGGAACAGAGAAGCAAAAGAAAAATGGCTAAAACATAAAATTGTCGCTACTAAAATGAAGCTGATTAAGGCGCAAAATAGATTGATAGAGACGAGAGGGTCGCAATTGAATATTTTACGTTAAACAGAACAGAGCAGTCTCCTGCACCTCCTGACCCTTTTGCGATTATTATTAATTTTTGTGTGAATGCATGCCACTGTTGATTTAGCTGATAGTGTGTTTTGTGGTATATATTTCCATACTTCTCGTAAGTCAATCAATCGCATGGAAAAATAAAAAACTCTTATATATATGTTTTGCAAACAAAAATATAAACGCTTGACGCTAATAACACAACGGTTAAAGAGGGCCATTTGTTATTGATGACCAGGAAGCTAATGAAAAATAAACACTGGCTCGAAAAAAAACAAAGACCCTGAAGTATGTCTATCTTTTGCTTGGTTGCTTTGTTTTAAAGGCCATCAATGACGTTTATTATTACCAATACAAACAAGAAATACAAGCGATGGGATTTTCAAATGTTGACGAGAAAGGCCAATATTTATAAATTACAATGTATTCGAAATTATACTAAATTTATATTACGGTTTCAGCAATATAAAAACTTAATTATTACCTTTGTAGATTAGGATTTATTGGCGTTGCTAGAACGTTTTGAAAGTCTCGATGGTTTCCTTCTTCCCAAAAAATGAGAGGCAACATAACTATCATTAAGAACAATAACTGAAGACTTTTTTTTATAAAGAAGATAATATTATTCTATGATACTCTAAGAGACCCAAATACTCCCCAAGTTATGGAAAACGAATTTCAATACGCCAAGATAGTCCTAAAAGTTTTTTATTATCAGAGAAGGATCATTTTCACAATTTTTTCTTACGTAGATTCCATTTCACTAAGTAGATTTTTATTTAAATAGGGCAAGCAATCGAAATATGAGTCGTTATATGATGCCTACTACTCCTAATTCCAATTTCGATCCCATCAATTTAAGCAAGTTTAGTTAATGAAAAGTAATTGTAGAATAGTAAGAACTTTTTTCATTATCTTCACCAATAATTTGTTCAAATTGTTTTTTTTTATCTTAATTAAAATTGTTTATTCTTTATTTTAGTATCCTAATTATCCAATTATCGACGTCATCACTAATACGTGCAAGGATTTCATTAACATCAACAAGTAATAATAAAATACTAATCGAGAGCATAAAACGGTGAAATCAAAGAGAAAGCAACGTCTTTTATAAAGAATTGTGGATTTTTGTTTTTCTTTATTTTTTATATATTCTTCGGTCTTTAATTGGCCAGAAGACGCGTTATTAATATTATTGTACCTTTAGTAAAGTGGATCACTAAACAGCAGGCACAGCCACAGCTTGGGAGCCGTTGCTGCTGCTTTTGTTACTGTTGTCGTGACTCTTTTCTCCTTTTAGCCGGGGAATAAAGAGGATACGTGTTTTTCGTTTAAGTAAAACATGTGCGATCCCAGTTCAAAAGTACAGAAATGGACTTGCGATTATTGCACTTACGAGAATTTTCCTTCTTCCATCAAATGTACAATGTGCAAGGGAGCCAAACCTTTATTAAATGAGGATATTTTTCGGTAAGTTAACTTGGTTTTCGATTTGAAGGAAGAAAAAAATTAACAAAATCTCTTTTTCTGCGGCCTTTAATTAATTAGTTTAAGTCCTCCACAAAATTCTTGCGACGCCGATGGTGATGCCCGTGGTGCTGTGGCTGCTGTTGATTCTGAACCCTCAAGTTTTAATGCCTGCTCTCGTCACGATTCGCAAAATTTAGCTGGAGCCTCTACTAGCGATAACAAGTGGGCTTGTAAAATGTGTACTTATTTAAATTGGCCTCGAAGTTTACGTTGTGTCCAATGTTATACTAAGAAAGGAGCTGTTTTGGAAACGATACCCTCCCAAGATATAGGTGCTGCATCGGTGATATTAAAAACTCACACTCCACCTAATGAATTGGAGCAAAAACCTTCAGCATCTCATAAACGTTTCACAAATCATCATTTAAAAGAGTCGAAATCACAAATTGACGGAGTTGGACAGATAGAACCGGGTAATAATCAACTACAAGAAAGATTAAGCCGTATGCATATTGCGTCAAAAATAGATGCAGAAATGAATGCTAGCAATAGCGCGGCTAGTGCTGCGGGCGCTGCTGCGCAGCGTTTAAGCCCTATAGGCTCTTCAACTACCCATCTCAATAATCTCGCCAATAGTTCGCAATCTCAGCAGCTTCACTCCTCTCCCTCCGTTCCCGCAAACGTACAGCAACATAGCTACATAGCCAAGTGGCCCTGTAATGTAAGAAACCTTTAAAATTGTATGATTTTTCAAAAGCATTTTGGTTTTTTTTGTCGTCTCTTATTTCAGACTTGTACTTACGAAAATTTTCCGAAAAGTCTCAAATGCTCCATGTGTGGCAGTCCACGTGATAGCAACATTACTAGCACTGAGAACAATGCCAGTGGCAGCAACAACCAGCAAAACAATAGCGGCAGTGATAAAATGAATGATACCGTCTCTTCGAATAATTCCTTTAATAAGCAACAAAATATTTATCAATTGGGTAAACGATATATATTGTTTTATTAAGAACTTATGAATGTTTATTCAATTGTTTTTTCCTTTTAAAGGTTCTTCAGATACTATTAACAACTGTGATACGGTGCAAGAGCGCCAAGAACGTCGTCAACGACAAATACGCCGCCAAGTTGATTGGCAGTGGCTTAACGCCTGCTTGGGTAAGTTTTTAAAATATTTGCACATAAAAAAAAAATCGAACAAATTCTTTTGTTTATATACGCTTTAGGTGTGGTGGAAAATAATTATAGTGCTGTTGAGGCTTATTTATCCTGCGGTGGTAATCCGGCACGTTCATTGACTAGCACGGAAATAGCGGCGCTCAATCGTAATTCAGCTTTCGATGTGGGTCACACACTTATACATCTGGCGATACGCTTTCATCGGGAAGAAATGTTGCCAATGTTATTAGCACAAATATCCGGTTCGGGCCCGGGCATTAAACGAGTGCCGTCATTTGTGGCACCTGATTTGGCTACCGATATACGGCGACATTTCTCCAATATGTTACGTGTACGAAAATCGGTATTTAATTGCCATTATGTGCAAGAGCATGCCACATTTTCCTTGCCTGCAGAAATTGAAGAGTTACCTTTGCCTATACAAGAACAACTTTACGATGAATTGCTTGATCGAGATGCTCAAAAACAGTTGGAAAATCCTCCACCAGCTTTAAATTGGTCAATGGAAATTACAGCTCGATTGGGTTCACGTTTGTTGGTGCTGTGGAATCGCAGTGCTGGAGATTGCCTTCTTGATTCAGCCATGCAGGCCACTTGGGGCGTATTTGATCGGGATAATACATTGCGGAGAGCCTTGGCCGATAGCTTACATCAATGTGCACCTATGTAAGAATTTATTTGTAAATTGTGTAAAGACTAAGCGTTACTAAGCGAAAATGTGTTGATTTTTTGAAAGGTTTTATACGCGTTGGAAGGAGTATGAAATGTTGCAAGCCTCAATGCTACATTTTACCTTAGAAGAAGCTCAATGGCAAGAGGACTGGAATACTTTGCTTACTTTAGCTAGCCAGCCGGGTGCATCGTTGGAACAATTGCATATATTTGCTCTGGCTCATATCCTGCGACGTCCTATAATAGTTTACGGAGTTAAATATGTAAAAAGCTTTCGTGGCGAAGACATTGGTTATGCTAGATTCGAAGGTCTTTTCAAACAGATATTATAATTTATCAAACTTTTATTAATGCTCTGTACTATTCGCAGGACTTTATTTACCTTTATTTTGGGATCAAAATTTTTGCATAAAATCCCCCATAGCTTTGGGTTATACCCGTGGTCATTTTAGCGCTTTGGTACCTATGGAACCATATGCGAGGATCGATTTACGGCGGGACGAACCAGAAGATGTCACTTACTTGCCCTTAATGGATTGTGAGTCTAAACTTTTGCCTATACATTTTTTAACACAAGCCGAGGTAAGTGAAAAAGTAAAATTAAAAAGCAAAATTCTTAAGTTAAGCTTCTATTATGGTTTGAAAAGATGGGTCGGGAAGAAGCCATAATGAGACAATGGCTGGATGTTTGTGTTACCGAGGGTGGCTTGCTGGTAGCGCAACAAAAATTACGTAAACGTCCTTTATTAGTAGCTCAAATGCTCGAAGAATGGTTAAATCACTATCGAAGTATAGCGTAAGTCATTTTCCTTTATAGTTAATTCATTTAAAATTAAGGGCAGAGCGGGGAAAAAAATGGTATAATATTATCTTACAGACAAGTAATCACGGCTCCATTTGTTAGACGACCTCAACAAACTGGTTACTCTAGTGACGGTGATTCCGATGAAGAGTAATGATATAATATGTGTTTATGCAGCCGTGTTTACAAAATAACAAAACATTCTACAAAAACAGCTACTACTGCTATTATTTGCTTAAACAACACCTAAATAATAATTCGTATGTTTGTTACATAAAAAAGAAAAAACCAAGATAAAATTAATAGATTTTTAGTAGTGAAATTGATATAGTTACCTAAAAAAGCAACAACTACAAAACAAAAAAGCGAAACATTTTAAAACCAACAAAAAAAAGTAATTTTTCCCGGAAGGATGTAAAATATTACAACACAAAATTCTTATAAGTAATTTTTATTAGTTAAAATTTTGAATAATTAAAAAGAACAAAAAAAACAAAACAGGATTCACACAGAAAATTATCGATATACGTATATATACACATATGCACTTATGTATATACATACACATATGGGTGTACTTGTATATACAAATACAAAACGGAAAATCAAATTAAGCGTTTGGCTAATGGAAAGCGGGCTTAAGCAATGTCCAATTCGATGCGAGAAAGCATGTTCTACTCAGCCTGGTTCTTTTAAACGTGTGTTATGTGCGTGTATGTTTGAACAATCAAAAAAAAAAAAAAATTTTTTTTATTGTAAATTAAACAAGGGATTAATGAATGGGTTTAAATGAAAACGAAAAAAAAAGTAGTCAGCACACAGCAATCAAATAACATTACAATGCTATTCTTCACTCCACCCCCAACAACGCCCGCATATATATATATATATGTATGATATATATATATCGTCCGTATAAACCACCACCACCACCACCACTACGAACTAAATCTTTTTTATATATAGTCTCCTTTATTTTCTCCCCAGTGCCCACGTTTAAATAAAAGGAAAGTATTTGTAATTCAAAATAGTTAAAAAGAAAAAAAGTTAAGAAAGAGAATAAAACAAAAAAGAATATTTAAGATGAAAATTTATTTATAGTGTTGTTTTAACATACTTTTTCTGTCTAAAAAAAAATGAAATAAATTTATTATATTAATCATATTGAGAAAAAATTAAATAAATGATATTAAATATTTTGTTGGTAATGTTATTTAAAGAATTGAATTATTTGTAATTAATTAATATACTTAATTATTACATAATAAAATTAAAAATTGCATAAATAAAGTGGAACTTGAACAAACGAAGTTATGTTCGCTGATATTCGCAAGCTTCACGATCCAACATCCAACATAAACGGAAATGAAAATGAAACCGCGCAAAAGCAATTAAACTGACCGCAAGCAAAGCTTGCAAAGTATAATATATAGATCGCCTCGACTAATGTATCAAAAGAGTCGGCGGGTTTTTTTTTGTTTGATTTTAAGCTTAATCGGGCAAGAATGAAAAGAGAAGATGACAGTTGTTTACGATTATAAATTCAACATTAAGTTTTGCACAGTAAAGATATCTTCGTTAACAGCGGCAAAGCTACTATCACTATGTGTCCTCTTCGTATTATTGTTGAAGAAGTAACGAAATTGTTAAAGTTTATGAAAAAAGTCAATTCAAAAAATCTGACTTACTTTGTAATGGCAACGATACGAATATCTTGCGGTGGTCTGCCGATTCTTCAACAGTTCAGAAACCCGCTCAGGGTTTGCTTTGAATGGTTTTCGAATAATTTTAAACTCGGATAATTTTAAATATTCGGAGATATTTCTAAGCAGCAACGACGCTCTTTTATCAAGTACATTCCTTGATGCAAAATACCTACGATGTTTTCTTGTCTCTCAATATCGGAATCTCTAAGAAAACCTGTTATTGATGTGTTTAAATGCATTGTGCGCCTCTTTTAGGATTTATTTATAGTTACAACAGTTCCACAACAAAAAAGTTCAAAGGCACAGTTTACCTAAAAAAAGAAGAAAATTTTTAAACTTTGAAAATGATAAATAATTATCTCAATTTATTTCACTTGCATATTTATTTGCTCCTTTTTTATTAGCTATAATTCAACAGAAATATTTCCATTATTTATGCTTACTAAAATGTATCTTACATTTGAAAAATGGAATGTAAAGTTTTTACATTACATGAAAATGTTACATTTGAACAAATCTGTAAATAATCAATTATATTTGATTTGCAAAGCGTTTCTCACTTACAATTGCAATGCCATACAAAAAAAAAAAACGCTTTATGACTTTTGGCAGCACTTTGAGACGATTTTTCAAAAGGTGGATGATCACATATGAAAACTGTAGTTTCTGCTGTTGTATTATTTGGGAAAAGCAGCGAAAGCCAACTTTCAGATACGTGATTACTACTATATTTTACGTACAATGCCTATTTTGTCTACCTTTGTCCGTACCCTGCATATGGGTACAAAAAGCAAATTACGCGATCTTAAGTAGAAAACAGCTAATAGACGGCTATTTGGTTTTCCAAAAAAAATAATTAAGATTTTAATAGTAATTTTCAAATGATATAGAAAATCAAGCGATGTAAGCTTTTAAAAAATTTAATAAATTTCCTGCGCTAAAGATAAATATAGTTATTTTCTTCTTTTTTTTTTTTTGCTTCCCAGGAAAATATAACTTTTACTGTAACGGATGATTTGTAGCTTTTAATATTTTCGTAGATCTGGCAGTGTACTTACATAAAAACGGTATTCTCTTCGTCGCCTTACTCTCTTCTCTATTTCTTGTCAGCGTGACTTTCTCATTGGTTGTGCAAGAAATTTTTGTTTTTGCCGTCAGTTGTGTTGAGGATTTCGCGGACGCGTAAGAAAAAGCATTTAGTGTTAATATAATTTTCTGCTCAGATTTTCTCATTAAAAGAAGCTATAAAAATTAATTTTTTTATTTTAAATATAATAAGAAATTCAATTGAAAGAGCAAAAAATAATAATGCATTTATTTTAACATAAACTAAACACAGCCGTTAAAAAATATATGTAAATGAAAATTGTGTTTTTTGCAAGAAAAAAGTTAATAGGTGCTTAATATAGCCAAAAAAAAAAAAGAAAAAAAATAGTGCGAGTGAAAAAAATACGGACATTAAGGGAAAAAAGACATCGAGTAGCAGAGCGTTTTATTCGAGAGATTGAGAGAGGGTCTCACTAAAAGCATTAATACAGAAGAGTGTAATGGGTAAGTTTTGTAGCAAAGTAGCAATAACAATGCTTAGCTCAAACGGGATGGATAAGACATTGATTCGATAGTGGTGGAGGTGGTGATTTTGCTTTGGGGTGACAAACTTTAAAGTCCATCAGCGAATTATTGATTAATGAACAAACGAAGTGTGAATACATGTTCAATTTATGTCTTCTTTTAAGTAAACAAAAATCTTTGAGTAGCTTTTTTTTTAGAAAACCCCCCCAAAAAAAAAAAAAAACAACATATGTTGCGCTGCGCCTATAAACACGCATCTGCATATGTTCGTAAAGATATGTGGACATAGGTAGGGTTTTATAGATTTACTTGCACTCCCTAATTTTGACTGATATGTGAAACGTGAGCGAATTTACTTTTGTATCTAATTATGCTCTCTCTCTCCCTCTGATACGCTCTTTTTTTGCATCTCTATTTCTTGTTAAAGGAGTTTCTTAAGCGTAATATTTTTGCATTACAGAGTCTTCATTACGCGGTATGATATCATTCTTAGCTAATATGTCAATATTATCATGTACAACAAATACGGAGTAATCACTAAGAAACGATGAAGTTAACTGTTATGTACCGTTGGGGGTCTTTCATTCATTTATCCATTTAACACGTTTGCGTTTTGCGTAAGTGCATAGTATGCCAAATAAGAATACTCTTTGTTTTGTATTGTTTCTTGAGTATCTTTTTTTTTTTTTCTTTATTTTTTGTATTCCCTTTGTTGCTGGTATTCTTTTTCCGAAATTAATTGCGGTTAGTGAGCACAATAGTTGGTAAAAGTGTCGTTTATATGTTGAGTCGTTCCTCCTTACTTATAATCATTAAAAAATAACAGCTATGTACATACTCGTTTTGATTATATACCATAATTGAAGAACTACAACAATAAATATATGCATGTGCAAGTTAAATTCAGACAAATAAAGCAATTTTTTTCCTCCCTCACTTGTTCCTTTTTCCGCTATGCATTGTTCTCCATATTGGTTCGATGGCTGTTTGTTGATTGAATTGAGTGCATATATGCAAAAGTGGACAAGTGTACAAAATCAAACAATATAAAAAATAAAAACGGTACAATAACGTCTATGGAACTAATCGAGCAACTGTTTACTATTCTAGATGTATTCATACACGATACGCGGTATTCTGCCTGTCATTGCAATCATTGTTGAGAGCTAACTTGTGTGTCTGTGTGTGTGTGTGTGAATGTGCGTATGTAACTACATGACCAAGTAGTGTATATTCCACATGAATGAAATATTTTATTCAATACTTAATTGTCTTTTCAAGGGGTTTTCTTATGAACAAGTCATCTTTACGTTTCATCAACATCAGCGTCATCGCCAACATCATCATCAAAGCCACTAATAGGTACAAAAAAGAGACCCAAACCGACATCATTAATTTGTGTGTTACTTATTTCCCATCCCACAGCTTAGATGTGAGTATGAACAAAAAGAAAATTAGATTAGATTTAGGACGATTCTCATTAGTAATGAGGCAAGTGTATGGTGATGATCGAAATACTATCGCATTCAGAATTCGCCTATATAATGATCGCACATGGAAAGCCTTGTTATTCAAGCATTACTAGGCACACAATTTAACTTTAACTGATTATCAGGAGACGCCATAACTGTTCTGGATTGAAGGAGGACTTCTTCATTGATTAAACTGTTGATGTAAAGCTTTAGTTAAAGTAAGGAATGTACAAATATTTAATGCAAGTAAAGAGTTTGCATTTGTTTCCTAAACCAATTAGAAAATAATTTCATTATAGATTATCGCGTCACTACTGTTCTAGGCGTCAAGGTGTGCCAACATTTGATTTTACGCAATTCAGATATTGCTTCAGTACCTCCTATGTAGTAGGACAATATCTTAAAAGATGCCCTTTTTAAATGTTTTTCTGTATTTTACCGAATGTCAGTCATTGTATATATAAGTCACGCCCATTCTCAAAATTAATTCATGGGCAAACAATCATATGAGACTTGGTCTTAGTTCTCTCTATTCATTTTTATTAATTTTGTATTTGCTTTGAAAAAACCATCTGAGATATGAACGGATGAGCGTGTAAGTCTAAGTTGGAACGATTTTTTACACTTAAAGACGATGTATCTGACCATTGTGGGCCTTTTTTGCTAATGGGATACACATTTTGATTTGCGATTCAAAAAAAGTTCAGCGAAACGTTGACATTCACTAAATTCAATTTTTTAGTTCTTATACTAAGTTTAATAACTAAGGTTTCATTCCCGTCAGTTGTTAATGATTATATAAATCTAGTGCAATGAGGAAAGCTAGTTTATATTGATATTTGAACTCTTGTTAAATAAAAATTCCCCTTACTTATTGAACATAAAAAAATGTAACTATTGATGTGAATTTTTATACTATTTTCACATCATTAAGTCAATCAGTTACGAGCTGATTAAAAGTTGTGACTGTGAGCGAATCTTAGACTAAGGTACCGCAAATTACAAAATGAATTGAATGAAAAATGAAATGAAAATTATGAAGAATGCGCACATAGTGTCATTCAATCAAAAATTATTTATTTACAATGCGAGTAACTTTTTTACAAAATTTTCAACATAATTAATTTAATGTCATTCAATAATAGCAAACAAATGGAGCTTTGTTAGTTAGAGAGGCTGCAAAGGTTGTAATCTTTTTTATCTGTTGCGGATGTGCTTGTTACCCATTCTGTTGGCCTTCTTAATCGATTTACTAATACGCGCGACAAATTTGAACTGACGATTAGTAGCACATCGCTGGAGTAAGCACAAATGCTTCTAATGTTAAAAGAAACAAGAAATGAAGTTAAGACAATTTTTCTGATTTTTCGTTTCTATGTGCTTTAGGGTGAATTTTTGATATCCGCAAAAACGCGAATGAATGCTTTAGATTTATGAAATATTCCTTGAAGGTGTGACTCAATCAATTCGGACCGTTTTTTATTGCTCTTTCCAGGTTAATACCTGGTTTTATATTATATTATATATTTTGTCTATCGGTGACATGATTTTTAGCCATCAAATAAAAAATAAACTATATAAAGCCTTACTTACTTAAGTGGTAAGTTGAACCTTATAGTTTTTTTTCATCTATTTTGAGTTGTTTTGTCAGCGAATCACATCCACTCTTTCCTACTCAATTGAAAATCAATGTCCCATGCACAATGGCCTATAATTTTTTCAAGGGAGGGAAAAGAAATTCGAATTTACCTAAGCAAAGACATGTACCAATTACCTCAACAGAGCATTGTAAACGTCGTAACAGAGATTCGTTAAGTCACTAGGATTAAGATATAGTCAGACTTGTAAGCTTCCGCCGTTCAAATTTGAAAATGCAAAATATTTTTATGGACATCTAATAAATCTATATAAAAATACCTTTCAGACAAGCTAAACAAATTCAATTCAGCTCTTCGAGACTATAATAATCCTAATTACTTAACAGAGTTCTGTTAGGGCGTTTAAAGAACTCTGTTAAGTTACTAGGTAGGTGTTGTTGCTACTTTTATTTGAATTTACCTTCACACCCTTAGTTTTTTTTTCATTTATAGAAGAAGACGATATTTACTTGGAATGGATTACATCGACTTTAAATCTTTAGTTTATTGAGACGATATTTACTTAATAAAGACTCTGATGCATACTTTTAAAACGTTTCCAATGAATGATTTATATGAAAATTGGTTATCGAATTTTCCGATTCACATTACATTTTGAATCAAAATATCTCTCTTCTTAGCTTTCGAAAAAAAAACTGTTTTGTGTCTTGATAAACATATATTGATGAAGCAAAACAGTTGACAAATCCAACCGTCTCACAACAAGAAATCGATATTAAATTTCTGTAATCATATATGTTAATATGAAATATATTAATGTCGAGTGTTGCTTAAGATAAATAAGGTTAAGAAGAAAGATAGATAGAGAGAGAGAGAGAGAGAGAGAGAGAGAAGTTCTTTAACATTTAGGTAAATGTAATATGTTAAGAACTTTGCTTACTATTGGCGTTTTGCAGTCTGAAAGAAATTAACTTTATTAGAGGCTTTTTTTATTTACTATTCAAAATTCCTTTATAGTTAGATTATTCATGAAACTAAAGAGAGTTTAAGTTTTAAAAGTGATAGAGTTTACTTACTTTGGTCATGGTTACAACGAAGGCTCGTTTGATGAAGGCATAGATAGCACATATCATCATAAAATAAAAAAAAAAAAATACATATAATTGATTGTATCGAGATGTCGATTGTAGCTCTGAATTCAAATAAATTTATTAATATTTTACTTTTGTTTCCTATCTTGTGGATTTGAAAGCTAGTAAAAAATTTCGGTTCGATTTAGATCCAAATTTTCCGAATCAGTTCTGAATCGATTTAAATTTATCTATCCATCTCTCTGTCTTGTTTTCCTTTGTTCAACCTATAGGTCGCAATTTTCGTGAAATTTACTACATTAATGTCTTTTGACCCAAAAACGAACGCTATTGAAAATAGTTCGGATCCGATTACTCTCTCGGTCCCTTCGGTCCCTCGGTCAGTGTTTATTGGTATAAAATTTATTCGATTTCTCTCGCATTCTTTCAAAAGGAAAAATTTTAAATAAAGTTTAACGTCTGAGAAAAAGTAAATATTCGCCACTGATTAAGAGAACAAACGGGATTTTATAAAGGAAATCTTGTGATTTATTTAGAATACTTTATTGATTCAGTTTTAAGTTATTAAAGAAGAAATTTGAAAGTATAATTCTTTTACACGCAATTATTACGTAACAAATCGGAATTCAACAGATAATTCGATGTAACGATATTTATTCATGCTAATCGGTCTCTGACGAGCTTTGCTATGTATAACAAAAGTTTCGCAAATCTGAAAACAGTAGCAATAGTTTAATAGTAGTAGTAGTAGTAGTAGTAGTAGTAGTAGTAGTAAGTCGCCTGAAGTATAATTCTACTCGGTAAAAGTATGTCAACAA